GGGAGGCAGAGGCAGGAGAATTGCTTGAGCCCAGGAGTTGGAGGTTGCTCTGAGCTGTGATGCCACGGCACTCTACCCAGGGACAGCTCGAGGCTCTGTCTCAAAGAAAAAAAAAGAAATATTTTATTTGGAATTTTATATATAATGTCCCTAATTTCTTAAATAGCATACTAAACATGTTTCCTGATGACTTTTTTTAGTTTTAGCATTACACATATCACTTATTTGGGGGTACTAAAATGTGGAAATGGTCAAAAATCTGAAACTTTTGAGTGCTGATGTGATGCCCAAGGAAATGATCTAGTGCATTTCTTTCTGACTTTTGAGTTTTGGATTAGAAAGTGTGGGGCAGGGAGAATCCTCCCCCTTTCCACTGAAAGATCCTCTCAAAATTAAGGCAGATTAATAAAACAAAAGTCTATTTACTATATGCAAAGAGAGAATCTCAAAATGATTACTCAGTGTCCCAGTGAGGTCTAGACATTTTTATACCCTCTTCTTAGAGGGGTGAGGAAGATAAGGAATATAGGTAATTGTGTTTAGGGGCAATAAATAGTTGCTAGGGAGGATGAAAGGAATGGGTGGGGGAAACGAATTGAGCCGTAAATTAACCCGAGAGATAGGCATTATGTTAAAAATGATTTGAGCCAGGTCTGGTTGCATTCTTGGTCTTCTTTCCTGAAATATATTGAGGTCACAGGGATTGGAAGGGAAGTTGATTCTTCATTTGATGTATCTAGGTTTTTTGCTTCTGCCAGTAGCATGCTGCGTAGGTCTGTCTGGTAATGCAGAGAAAGGGAAGGCCCCTTCCAAGGGCCTGGTGATCTCTAAGGGCCTTTAATTCAAAATACTATTTTTTTTTTTTTTGGCAGTTTTTGGCTGGGGCTGGATTTGAACCCGCCACCTCCAACATATGGAGCCACAGGTGCCATCCTTAAAATACTTTTTTATAGGCTTGGCGCCCGTAGCTCTGTGGTTATGGCTTCACCCATATACACCAGGGATGGCAGGTTTGAACCCTGCCAGGGCCTGCTATTAACAACTACAACAACAACAAAAACAGCTGAGCATTGTGAAAGGCGCCTGTAGTCCCAGCTACTCAGAAGGCTGAGGCAAGAGAATTGCTTAAGCTCAAGAGTTTGAGGTTGCTGTGAGCTGTGATACCACACGACACTCTACCAAGGGTGACGTAGTAAGACTCTGTCTCAAAAATAATAATAATTTTTTATAGCAAGGAGTCATAGAATGAGGTGAAATTTCCTGAGCTCCTTCAGATGCTCAACCCATGTAATGTAAATAAATATTTCAGAATCTGGAAACCAATCTGAAATCTGAAATACTTGTGGTCCCAGGGGTTTTGGTAGAGGACACAACCTGTACTGTGTTCAATACAGTGTCTCTGTTACTGTGACTCCTCACCAGTAAACGCCTCCTGCAGGTGCCTGGAGTGCACTTTGGCCTGCTGGGCTGTTAATAGCCCTTTGCAAATTCATTTCTGCTTCTTCCTGTTTGCTGCTCTGGGTTATTCCTCACTGTGATTTCTTTAGGCTGTGTCTCTTCTCTCCTATCACCTCTCTTGCATTCCCGCATTTGTGTAAAAAGGCTGACCTTTTACAAAGTTTGTCACTCAGTCCCCTTGTCCCCCTGTGGGGGCTTGGCTGGTGTAGCACCTTGTATATAATCTTCAGTTCTTTTAGCTGTTCTTGTTTCACAGAAAGAATGTGCGAATCTCTTTCTGTTCTCACAAAAGGAATGTGCAAATCTCCCCACTCCAACAATCCCCCCACTCTACTTCCTTCCCTCTGCCAGATGTTCCAGATGCAGAGCTGTTTAGATGTAGGGTATTCAAGAAGTTGTGGTTTTGTTACAGTAAGCTTTTTAAGTTCACTTCTGCCTACAGAGATTAGTAAATAACTGTCTATAAGGAAAAGTTGACTCTGAATGGGTTGATTGAACTCCCAGTCTTAGAGAAAATAAGAATTCATTAGTCATGTAAACATACTGTTTCAATTGACA